TAATTCAGATCAACAAACACAAAATCGTTCATACTACGAAATTTCCCCTGGTTAATGAACTGCCACTGCATTCTGTAAAAATTACATTCACATAGTTTCAAACGAATTATCTGAATAGTCTAGCTGCAGGAAATAATGTTTGACATGCCGAATTCGGTTGCTACTGTTTAGTAATTTAGTATGCAGAAATCGTATCGAAGAAATCATGTAACATGATTGCTTTAATTATTCAACGTGAAGTACCATGTGTATGAATTTATTGATGACCGTCTCTCTGGACTTGCTCAATTGACATTAATTTGCGCTACAACATTACCAATGAAACTATCATGAAATTTGCATACACATCACAAAATGGTGATCATTTTCATTCTACGGAATACATTCTGACACATTCTACTGCTTTCGAATTAGTAGCAGGATGAACTTCACTGAAACACTAAAAGTTATACTTCCATTCATTCATTCAATCACGCAGCTTACTTCATCATAATATAACGTTATCTTCTCATCCGAATGCAACAGACAGGTTATTTTTATCAAATCTGTAGAAGAAAGAAAGAGATAGATAACAAGAATTTTGTTTTTCAGTTTGACACTGCATACATGCTCATCATCAAATAGCCAAAATTTGTTGTACATTTAGTGTGTGTGGTACATTCCATTGCCTCTGTGAGTTTGACAGTAAAATTCGCGTTCAAGCCAGCTCCAAATAGACGAATCAAATAAATACAATTGAAATTGAGTGAGTAACTGAGGCTTATTTTTTTAAACATTTTCCTTTTAAAGAGAAATATTCTTGTTTTCAAAGTATTTTTGACACTTTACAAATTAAATCGAGCACATGATCAAATAATAGAAATTCGAACATTCTGCTTTGTAATTACTTCCATTCACGTTATTTCTCAGCGCAATACAATCGTTTACCGATCGTTCAAAAAGGCTGTAGATCAGTGAATTTGTAAAGAAGACTGTTCTACTCACTGATCTTCATCAATCTGTTCCTCATTATAGGTTGTGAATAAATCATGCTCACGGGTTTCGAACTAATAGAACGTGACAAATTCATTGCATTTCACCTGATCTCTCAGTAATTGTCAATGTGTTTTAACGACGAAAGTGTTCCATGAATATTAATTAGCATTGCCTTTCTAATCACAGAAATGAAATGTCAGTGTTTATGTCTCAACTAAATTGAATCACACAGATTGAACAATACGAGTGTAGTTAAAATGAATGATGTTTTTTGTGTGAAGGAGTTTTGCGTGCGTGTTGTTTCACTTGTACTTACTTTGATTCTTTGAGAATATCACTTTCACAGCAATCATACTCTCTGAAAGTATAACAATATGCAGTTGTTATATAAACATATACACATATACATATCGATATATATATATTTGTCAACAAAGAATGCATCTTTAAGTTGAATCCAATGTCTATGAATATCTGTGACTGAAATTCATCTATTCACATGGTCAAAATTCTACTAACAATAGTTTGTTAACAATTCAACTTTCATTATTATTATTATTATTATTATTACATTTTTCAGTTCACATAACTCAGTTTAAGTTCATCATTATTGCAAAGTGAATCTTTTGTCTTCATTTGTTTGTTTTTGAGAAATCAACAACTGAACACATGTTTACATTCAACGTTAAGCACATAGAATTATGAAACAAGATAAATTTTTCTATGTTGACCAGCTGATTTTATGATATCCGAGTTACAAAAGATTGAATAAATGTGTGAAATATGAATTGTGAAAATGTGATTTAATTAAGAAGAGTACTCACTATTACTCAGGATCTCGAAATTGATAGCCTGTTGTTTAAAATCAAAGAGCAAGCCAATGTCGCCATTAGTAATTTGCCTTTCAGACCTTTGAAAGCTGATTGAACCTGCAACACATTATAGAAAATAAATAAACTAATTGATGATTGTCTGATGTGTAACTTTAATTAATAGGATAGAATTGCTACAAGGAAATCAGAGCCACCTAAATTCATAGTTAAAATTAACTTACTAACAATCGTCGTAGACGGTAACAGCCATCATAGACAGAAAATAACACTTACCCGTTGATTTTAGCGTCAATAGACTGTACTGTTCACCGAAAAATTTAGTTGGGAATTGTGGTTCAATTATATCCTAATTTACATTCATTATAATTTCTGTTAATGTCTATGTTAAAACTGACTTTAAATGGTCCAACATATTGTAAGTTTTCTTTCTCGACTGGATTTGGTTGATCATAATGGATTGTCTGTAAATAATAATAATTATCATACTGTTTATGTTCATTAGAATCGGGATTGATTTGTTACTTTCGCGTAAGAAATATTTTCTGCGATTATTTTTTCATATTTCGATTGCAGGAGGTGGTAAAACGGAAGACATTCCTCATAACAGTTTGACAATTCCAGAATGAAAACACCCAACAAGCAAAACCGTAACAATATTGATGAATCAGCAGGTCTAAACACATTCAAAATGGAAATAACACAGTTGTTTCACAGTTAGAATTAGAAACGTGTAGTATGCTCTTATTCACATTAACCGCTCTAGTCAATAATCCCTTCATCTCCTTGTTCAGTCGAAAAAATGTTATAATTTTAGTACTCATCAAATTTATATACATTTTATCAACAAGAAAGTTCTTATTTCTGATTGTACGGTTGAAAATTAGCCAATTAGAGGAAGGAATTGTAAACAAACGTTTTTCTATTGTAGTCTATACATTGTTGTGTTTCGATTTTGTTGACGTCGAGATGACCATTTGTTGTGTGTTGATTATGACTTTGAATTTTCGGGGAAATCAACAACTACAACTATTGATTCAAATTTTTTCCCATGAAATAGCTGTACCCTCTCTGCTGTATACCAACTCTGCTAAACATTTGAATTATGTAGTTTCATGAATAGTAGTATATTGAACTTTGAGAAAATAACCTTAAGTTGAAAAGCATAAAGCTGTTTAATATTTAATTTAATGAAATGCAGCAGCACAGGATAGTACAGGTAGTATGTGTATAAGACAATCCAACTTTAAAAATAATCTAAACATGAATTACAAATTACGAAGCTGTGTGCTACCAACAAACAGAATGAATTCACTTAAACATGAAAGGTTTGTCTAAGCTAAAGAGTACTAACAAGTCTGCGATTTGTTAATGTTAATTCAACTCTATAAACACACACTGACAACTTAGGTTTCGTGCTATTTGTCATGCGTAAGTTGGTGCTGTAAGCTACATGGAAATAATGCTCACTGACGAGTTCGATCCCACCTCACCAAGCTTCATAGTCACAAACACTACCAACACTGAAAGATTCGGTCTTTAACTAACCTCAACACAAAAAAAACAACAACTTATCATACATGATATTTGTCATTGCTTACTGAACACACACGTAGATTTTTCCATGGATATGTTGCGGTTAACTATTTTACTTATGCATAAAGAGTTTAAATAATTTAAAATCTTGAATTCAACACTTAGATAATTGAAGCGTCTTTCATTAAAGACAAAATAACAACAAGAACTATTCAATCCAATCACTAGCTATGGTCTATTGACAACAGTCAGTCAGTCAGTTGCAACGTAGAACTTCGTACGTAAGTACATCAGTTCATGTCGCCATACCACATCAGCGCAGAGATGTAATTGTCAATTTGAATCCAATAGAAGAAGAGTTAGTAAGGGTATTAGAAGTAATCGGAGAGGTTACGATTAGAAGATATTATTCAAGAAGTATGATTCAGTGAGAAAAGTTTAGAAAGTCAAAACTAGAGGTGTTGAAGAATTCAGAAGATTAAGATTTGAGAGAACATAAAGAATAATTGCACCGGCGCCATTGCAAAAGGTTTTGAGCCATGTCATTTAGGGTCTCTAACCATCGATTATTATCGTCTCGCGGACCCCAACCAGGTAGTCGACAATTACCGACATGGCTCAGTCCACTCGTCAATGACTTCATAGATTTCTGCCATGTTTTGGTCTGGCCGCCCCTAACTTTCTTCCAACCTATTCCTACACTACAAAACAAAGCTCTTCGATGCAGTCGGTGGTCGGGCATACGCAGCACATGTCCCAACCACCTCAACTGATGAAGTTTCAGCACTTCATCTATTGATCTGCCATCCTTACCTAGCACCCGATTCCTAATAACAGCGTTGCTCACTCGGGTGTCCCACGATATACGAGCAATGCTTCGAAGACAACACAATAAATCATCATAAGTTGAATTGATCAATATATTGATGATGACTTTCGAAATATAAACATATACTGCTTTATCTCATAAGTACAGGGGGGGGCGTAAAATTTAAAGCGACAACTCACATCTCTTTTTTGAATCTCAAATAACATTCAGAGATGTCAAGAATAATTACTATCAAGTCGAGTGCCTTATTTTCTGTAGTAAAAAGGAAGATACTATGACACATTCTAATACACGTTAGTAGCCTTTTCTATGCAAACAAGGATGGAGGCTGTGTGTGAAGAATTCTACTGTTAAAGGTTGAATAGTTGTCGTTTCAAGGCATCAGAACTAACTCAGAGATGTAGGCAATTTTCCTTGTTAGATGAACAATTCCCTTACTGCATGTACACTTGTACGTCTTTCTTGTTATATGGCAAGCACAGCTACAATATATGTGACCTGTCTGAAATTACTTCACCTTTATCAGAATGTGAAAATGGTCACTGTAATAGAAAACAGCACTCACATATTCCAGTCAAACACAGATCGTAAGGTCTATAATAAAACTTCACAAAGTGAACTGAAAACACGAAACTTCATATTTAGGTGCACGCACATCCCTACGAATAATTACTGACAATATAAAACCTGTTCAATAACCCATTTTTCATTTACTCATTCACACTTTTATAGAAAATTTCGGGTGAAACATGATTTTCTATACCAAACAGTCAATCATTATACAAGTAAAGTAAATAATAATAAATATGGTTAGCCTTTGTTTAATAAGATTAAAGTTTAAAAGGTGTATGTATCACTATGCTCACTTTAGACTTTTTCGATAGTTGCATTAAAAATCGTTCATATTGTTCAATTGCATAGATCAATTGTGGAATTAAACGTGAATCTTTAATTGAACGAGAAATCTAATATAAGTAAGTAAGCAAAAGAACAAACAACAATAACATCAACATTTAGATGAAGTAGGATTAAAGAAGTGGTATAATTCAATTTATAAAGTTTATAAAGAAGTTGCATTACCGGGGTTGTGAAGATTGTTAAGTTACAAATTTTTTGAAACCATGAATCGATCGATGTTAGACCACCACTAGAAACCTGGAAGCACTGGACGGCCGTTTCGTCCTGGTATGAGACTCCTCAGCAGTACGCATCCACGACTCCTGCACCCCGCAGGATTTGAACCCAGGACCTTCGGTATGGTGCGCGAACGCCCGTTAGACCACTGAGCCGGTTTCTAACGAATTGTTTACATAAATAAGCCGTCTCTTTATTACATCCACGTTTAAACTACTTACAAGTAGTTTGCAATAATTTCTGTATGATTGCAGGTTTCAATAAAATTCGTCTGGTTGTGACCATTGGATGTGTTCTGCAAAAGAAATGTGTTGTGAACTGTACTTCTGTTATGTGACTTTATCTAGTTCACAGTTAAAGGGATGTGTTGGAGATGTTAGATCCCTAGAACTCGCTTAATAAATATCTTTATTTTAGATTTATTTCATGGACCAATCAGTTGACCCACCAGGAAAATCCATGGCTGTGATTGGTTACTGTGTCATTTTAGTGTGCTATTTTTTGTGACTGTCGCAAGGACGTCTCTAGAGAATATAAATAAGCGCAATTTGAGTGCTTGGATTCATTGTGTGCTGGCTGCGTGTTTGTAGCATACAATTTCTACGCCATATCAAGACTTCTTGCTGATTCAATTTGGTCAAGGGATTACAGTAGCCTACCCGGACGATGGTCTATTGTTTGTTCTCGTTATTCGACTAAGGTGAACTCGTAATAGTTTAAGCATACCACGAGACGAGCGTAACAGAATGTTATACTGCTTTCAGGGCACCTACTTCAAGTCAGTGCAATCGACGAGTATCAACAAACAAATATACATTAAAATATTTCTGAATGGTAAACCAGATAACATAATAATCAGACTTCATAAACGCGTCATCAATCATTACTGTATTATAACACTAACATTTTTACAAAAAAACTAAGAGTGGCTAAGTAAAAACTTATAGAATCTAAAGGCATTAATATGTTGAGCGTTTCACAAGGTTCAAAGTATCTCCTGTGAAACAACTGGAAATCGATCGTACACGATGCGCATGTATGCGTCCTTGCCATAAATCTTGTGTTTCAATATTAATTAGTTCTTCTGACTGCCATTTACATGCTCGCAGTAAATGACCCTAACCCTGTCAGATCGATTACCACTACAAATAAATTGGAAGAACGTGGACAATTATTCAATCGAGGTTCATATATTACTTATTTACATATTAGTAGTTAATCGACTAGAAATCAAAATTAGCTTCAGAATAGTGACAAGCGAGATTATCTTCGATATAATTGACTCACCAATGACTGAGAAATCGATCCAGTAGATTTTGACTTTTTAGTTTCACACTCATCTTCCTCGTTTGATTTCTTCTTTGAATTTTTGTTTTCTTGAAGACCTTTAATCTTTTCACTTTCTGAATTCTAAATTTTCAAGAAAGAAGAACACAAGCAGTTTATTTCATGACTTTGTATAACAGGTTTGTGCTGTGAAAGAGAACAAACTAGATTCCAGTGGAGGAGGAAATCAGGAAGAAGTGGTGGAAGTAGATAGAACACACACTAAGAAAAGCACCTAACTGCGTCACAAGACAAGACCTCACATGGAACCCTCAAGGTGAAAGGAAAAGAGGAAGGCTAAGGAACACATTACGTCGAGAAATAGAGAAAGATATGAGAGAATGAACAAACATTGGACAGAACTGGAGAGGGAAGCCCAGGACAGAGTTGGTTAGAGAAAACTGGTAGGCGGCCTCTGGTCCATTGGGGGTAACAGGCGTAAGTAAGTAATAACAGGTTTATTTCAGTTAAATAACAATAGAGAACCAAGAAACAGTGGGCAGCTGTTTTGTCTTGCTATGTCTTGCTTTTTGTTAGTCAAGGAAGTTGATGTATAGTGTTGAGTTCCATTTAAATGATTGATCTACAATCATCCGTACTGTCACGATCTGGTCGGTACAGGATGGATCCTTAAGGAATCCAGCCAGCTGATCACAAATTCGTAAGTCTACCGAATCTATCATTTGGTTCAATAACACTGTGTTGATAAATTTGACCGTTATAGATAGTAGTGAGTTGGTGCTGTAGTTTTCATGCTCACAAAAATCTTCCTTTAATATTTTTAGGATATCCATCCAATATCCTAAGAGAATTATTGGTCAATTCCTATTGGTTAATTTCTACTGGTCAATTTCATGGTCGTCCTAGATATCAATGTCACGTACTCTAATGTTGTTGCTTATTGGTTGTCCTGAATATCAACGTCACTTCAAATGTTGCCTTCTACTGGTCGTCTTCACTGTCAATGTCACAGACTTCGATGTTGTTTCCTATTCGACCAAAATGTATAAATACGCATTATGTGTAACGTTTTATGACCACGATCACTGAGTTTAACGTTAACAGTCATTTGAAATAAAGCTGACTGATATGTGATGTATAAACGCAAACTGTTATACAATACATATACGTTATATGAACAAACCTCCGTACTCTAGAGAACATAAAACTTAGCATACTTGGACCGACAGCAGCAAATACCTTAACATGGGGAGGGGGATCAAGCTTATCTGTTTGTTGCAATGACTCGATCGAGCTAAATCGTCAGAAAAATTGCTTTTATCATGCTTGACAGGTCAGTTGCAGTGTGATAAGTCTAAGAGTAGTAAACCCATGGTTTGACAGTAAAGTCATACTATTGAATAGATTAAAATGTGACGTTGGTAAGCTTTTCGCTAAACTATTAAACAAACGAAATTATACCATAAAATTGTTTACCTGTATATAAGAAAATAATGAATATGCACGTGGAGCAACTTCTCTACCGTAAACACGAACTAATCGTTCAAAAATCACTGGGAATCGACCATATTTCAATCGAACAATTCGTAAAAACTAATATTTTTTTTTAAAACAAATGAACAGATAAGAGTTTTGATAACACATATATGATTTGATTCAAGTTACATATTTTTTTAAAACACTTATGGTTTATTGAATTAAAAACAGATAACTGAAATGTAGCATCAATACACCAAGTGATTAACTGTCAGATTGAGCCATGTAAGTAGACAGACTATTAGGTAAAAAGGGTTCATGTGCACATCGTAAACAAAAGTTTCGAGATGCTGGAAGGCATGCTACGAAATCGGTAGTGATGGAGCTGAAAAAATTTATAGCGTAAGCGAGATACTTGTCTATCTATCAAAGGACGCAACCGCTCTCTCTGTCCTTCTTTATGGCTGTGAAATATTACCAGAAAAAGTCGAGGATATTCGTATGTTTCTATTATTCGATCAAGCGTATCTCACCCTTTCTCTTTCTCCTAGTGATCGACAGAATTATGAAAACGTCGACATCTGGAGGGAAGCACGGTATCCAATGTACAGCTAGGACGCAGCCGGACGATCTGGACTTCGCAGATAACCTGGCTCTTCTATCGCACACGCAACAACAAATGCAAGAGAAGACGACCAGTGTAGCAGCAGCCACTGCAGCAGTAGGTCTCAACATACATAAAGGGAAAAGCAAAATTCTCCGATGCAACGCAACATGCACCAACCAAATCACTCTTGATCGAGATGCCTTGGAGGACGTTAACGCCTTTACATATCTGGGCAGCATCATCGACAATGAAGGTGGATACGATGCAGATGTGAGGGTGCGGATCGATAAATCAAGGGCTGCATTTCTACAGTTGAGAAATATCTGGAAATCCAAACAACAACCAACCAAAACCAAAATCAGGATTTTCAATACAAATGTCAAGACAGTTTTCTACTGTATGGAGCGGAAACTTGAAGAACTACCAAAGCCATCATCCAGAAGATACAAGTGTTTATTAACAGTTGTCTACACAAAATGCTTCGTATTCGTTGGCCAGAAACCATCAGCAACAACGAACTGTGGGAGAGAAACAACCAGATTCCAATGGAGGAGGAAAACAGGAAGAAGCGCTGGAAGTGGATAGGACACAAACTACGGAACGCACGGAACTGCATCACGAGACAAGCCCTCACATGGAACCCTCAAGGCATAAGGAAAAGAGGAAGGCCAAAAAACACATTACACCGAGAAATAGAGAAAGATATGAGAGGAATGAACAAACATTGGACAGAACTGGAGAGGGAAGCTCAGGACAGAGTTGGTTGGAGAAAACTGGTGGGCGGCCTATACTCCATTGGGGGTAACAGGCGTAAGTAAGTAAGTAAGTATCTTCGAATAATTGTTTATATATCCTGGGATCACCGAGTAAGCAATATTGATGTTAGGAAAAGGGATGGCAGTTGAAATGGTTGGAACACGTATTACAGATGCCCAACGACCGACTGTTTCGGTGAGCATTGATGACGGGTATAGAGGTAAGCTAGAAGAAAGCTAAAACGAAGCACAGACTAAAAAAGGCACAAATCCATGAAGTTACTGACAAGTGGACTGAGCTGTGTTGACAGGTGTAGACTATCTGGTTGGGGTCTGCAAGACGAAAGTCATCGATGGTTAGAGACTGAATGAAATTGTTGAAAATCATTGGTAATGGCACAGGTGCATCCACTCTTCTAAATTCCTCACCACCTCTATCTTCTGTTTCTAAATTTATTTCACTGGATTATAACTTCTTGAATAATTTCTTCAAACCCTAATCTTTTACCTTACCACTAATACTTCTATTGTGGGATTTGAATTGACAATACAATCTTTGTATGCTTAAACGGTATGACAACTTGAACTGATGTACGTATGTACGAAGTTCTATGTTGTAGCTGGCCAACTGACTGAATAGAGATGAATTTAAACTTTATTTCTGTTTGAATTATTTGGTCTATGGTTAACTGTTACTGTTACTAATTGTATTCATCCAACATTTATTCCGACTGATAGTGTTGATCTCGTCCGGCTGACGTGGTTAAGCAACTTGAACTGATGCATATTTATGCTAAATTCGATAGCACTGTGGTGCTGTGGTGCGAACTACTTATAAGTAGTATATGACGTGAGCGTCAACGTAATGTCTGGCAGCAGAAGATGGGGGAAGATCAAGAAAGGAAGAGTTAGAAAACAATGGAATTTGAATGAAACGCATGAACAGTGAGTGACAATGGATTGATGTTTTGCAACAGGAACAGTCCAGCTCGATATGATGAACTGATATTTTGCAAATGAACGATTTACGATTTGGTTTTCCAATTTTACTGAGTAACTCTGTAATTTGCGTTAAATACAATTCGGTTGCCCCACCTTTGTTCTCATTCACTGCAGCACATGTAGCTAACTACTGGCACAAATACACACTACAATTGTGTATTCTAAACTTGAAAGACAAAAATGAAAATGCAGAAAAAAAACGCGCAACTAACATATTTTGTTAAACGGCTAAGTAAATTAAAAACTGATGCACCAATTTCCAATAATGTAACAACATGAGCACTTGGCGCTGGTAAAGCTGTTTGTAATAATTGAGCTAGAATTTCTCCAAGACTAATTAAACGTAAACAAAGTGCTTCTTCTTTTTCATTGCCATCATCTAATTTCATTTCAATATCTTTAGATTCTTGAAAAAGGAAAAAATATGAAGTAAGGATGGAATAATATTGTAAAACATACTTTTTTTGTTATGGCAAAAGAAAGCAATAACCCTATAAGAAGAGTTAATCTATTCAGATTCACTGTTTCGTGTGTCATGTGTAAGATTGGCTATGAAATTTTGGAATTTTGGAAACATGGATGATTATATTTGATGCAAAACATTCGATCACTTACCACTGAAACACAACTTTGAATATCTATGTATGTCATCATAATCGGACCGTAGCTGCTACCTTGACGTGGTGGTCGAGCTTGTCTATCGTGATGATCCAACCGAGCTATACTAACTGGGACACATGATCCTGAAGGTTTTACCATGACAAGCCGGTCGATTGGAGAACGATGAGACTAAAAGATATGAGGGCGAAGTCGAACAGCTGACTGTCGAAGAGTTTGAATGTAGCAGTAAGGTGTCTCCCTCAAACAACCAGCATCTGCAGCGAAGCTGTCTTCTCACAAGGAAGGTAGGGTTAGAAAAGGTCGACCCTAAAAATGTCACACCTCACCCTACCTCACGGATTTTCGTCTCCTCGGGTGAGGGTGCCCACTAAGGACTTTAAAAAGCGGAGCTAATACTCAAAAATCCTTTCATAAAAAGTTCGTCCTTGACCGGCCTCAATCAGTTGTCCTTTGGACTATGCGATCACGCTCCCAGGTCTCTAAGACCAACACTAATCTACCTTCATCACCAGGTTCCTCAAGAAACACGCTTCAAAGGTGTGGGCAACCTGGAAGTGACATCCTTCCTAATAACCGTAACAGCATAAGAGACTTAAAAGCACATGTATGTCACCGAAAATGTAATGTGCTAGATTGACAGCTGAACTGTTCCCCTGGTATTACAATGTTTCCACACTAAAGACTACATGGTGGTAAAAATATGAAATGAATATGAAACGAATGAGTATGAAGTGTTAAAAACAATTGAGGCATAGATTCAAATACTAACACATACATTGAAACGAACCCACTGACTAATCAACCTCCCAGCTGAATGTTGCATACAGACTGATACAATAATTATTTTCTTCGTTTTTCAGTTTAAAACTGTAGCCTTACAGTAAATATTTTCGGATTGTGAATAAAAATGCAATATAAAACTTACAACATTCTACTTACTACTTCAGATTCTTCATATGAATGTACCTTGTATATCCTAGAGTTAATGACAACACTAAGATATTAACAGTAACAACTCATCCATTCATGATCAAAATGTCAGTCCGTCAGTCAGTCAGATGCAACGTAGAACTTTGTACGTATGTACATCAGTTGATGTTCCCATACCACATCAGCACAGAGATATAATTTTCAATTCAAATCCAATAGTACAAGAGGTGCAAAAAAGGTATTAGAATTAATCGGAGAGATTAAGACTAGGCGATATTATTCAAGAAGTATGATTCAGTGAGAAAAGTTTAGAAAGTCAAAACTAGAGGTGTTGAAGAATCCTGAACATTAGGATTTGAGAGAACACAAAGAATAAATGCACCGGCGCCATTGAGAACGATTTTTGACCATGTCATTCAAGGTCTCTAACCATCGATTATTATCATCTCGCGGACCCCAACCAGGTAGTCGACAATTACCGACATGGTTCAGTCCACTCGTCAATGACTTCATGGATTTCTGCCATGTTCTGGTTCGGCCACCCCTAACTTTCTTCAAACCTATTCCTACACTACAAAACAAAGCTCGACGAGGCAGTCGGTGGTTAGGCCTACGCAACACATGTCCCAACTACCTCAACTGATGAAGTTCCACCACTTCATCTATTGATCTGCCATCCTTACCTAGCACCCGTTTCCTAATAACAGCGTTGCTCACTCGGGTGTCCCACGATATACGAGCAATGCTTCGAAGACACCTATGATCGAAAACCAGTAACCTACAAATATCTTCTACTCTCACTGGCCATGTTTCCCAGCCATAAAGTAAGACGGAGCGAACCACTGCACAGTACACTCGTCCTTTAGTCAGCATGATCTAAATGTAGCCAACATAGGCTGATTCAATCTAATCCTGAATAATATCATTCATTCATAAACAGAAGCCACAAACACACACACACACACACACACGGAAAACACACACATTAAATATTTATCTATAACAATCAATAAACCACCAATCAATCCAGACTGATTAACATCGGGTGGAACTTACCACCACCACCACCACTTTTCGCATTATTCAAATCTAAACGACCAGCATAATCAATAGACATATTTGTTAAGAACCATTCATATTCATGAATTGAATGTTTAATAGATGCATAAATCAATGGTAAAATTGATAGAGCAGAAGAACGAGTTACCAATGGATAAGTAGTGACTGTGCATTCTTTATCATCCGGCACAAAAGTTACATCCTAAAGAAGAAAAAAAGAAAAGAAAGGAATATTATCCCGAAAGGAAGAAAAATTGATCACAGTATTAGGGAAACGGAAAAAATTCTTTTTACTAAGCCTTTGTCCGACTTACTTACTTACTTACTTATGCCTGTGACTCCCCGATGGTGACATAGGCTGCCGACCAGTATTCTCTAACCTATTCTGTCTTGGGCCTACCTCTTTCCAATTCTGTTCAATATTTGTTCATTCTTCTCATGTGTTTCTCTATTCCTCAGCGTAATGCGTTTATTCGCCTCTCTCTCTCTCTCTTTTCCTTTGACTTCGATGGTTCCAAGTGGGGGCTTGTCCTAATTTATTATAAGATGATACATCCAATCCCAATTCCATAATCCATAATCATGAGTGTTATCACAGTTAAACTAACTTGGATTATTAATTAAACCTTCATCACTATAGAATGGAGATGTGTATATTTTGATCCATTAGTAAACAGTAAATAAAGTCTAGTCTAATCTAGTCTAGACTAAATTTTAGTAATACTGATTATAATGTGAAAATTCTAACTACATTGTTGACGATTTGGAAATCTAATTCAGTTTTGTTGTAACGCTTGCTAAGTATTCTCTGACCACAATACACTGGACAAGTTCCAAAGAATCGACAGCACGGTGGAACAGCAAAAGTTTATATTCCAAATAGCAAGGTTAACTGGAAATAAGAATCCGAAGGCGAAGGGAAAAATAGATACAACGTTAGTTTCTTTATAGTATTTACATGAAAAGCTTCTGGATAGTAATTCACGTGATCGACTGGATTAGATTTAGCCAATCAGCGTGCAGCTAACAACAAGAGAATTTTCTATCCTCTTCTCCAAGAATCGATCAGGCGCTGATTGGACAAGAAATTAGCCAATCAGCGCGCAGCAACGTAGTCATGCTTTAATTCCATCTATGTTCCACTAAGAAGTCTTGACAATAGTCAGTCATATTGCACAATTGTGTATTACTTAAAAGTTCGTACAGTAGTGATAAATAAAAGTGAAAAAGTTAGTATACTTGATAATTGACCAGTCAGTGAAACAACAATAAACGTTTCTTCGTTTGTTCTATTTGAGATACATCGGTTGGATGTACATCCCATGAGACACTAACCCGATACCCTAAGATCCAAACGTCAACCTGTTATCCACAAAACACTAGATAGTTAGTAACTTTATTCAACAGCTTTGAAGTTATTATACTATAAAGTTTTTAGTTTGGCGGGAGTAACTGTGACTCTCTTAAGGTAGTCAAATGCCTCGTCATCTAATTGACGGTAATAGGAGTTTCTGGGCCTGTTCGCATTAAGCTGGGCTGCATCTTCTGTTATCTTACGCCATATATGTGTATGGTGTGCTCAGGTATATACGGTGACGTGCATAAATGGAGCATTTTAGGGGTTGTGGTGGCAGCTTAACTCTTTGTGTTCCCGCTAGGCAACGTGGCGTTGTTTATAACGCTGAGGCCAAAAGCCATTCCGAACGCTTAGGATACCGTGTCTAGCATGGTCCAGAATAACGGTACGTGTTCATGCCGTGGATGCGGATTTGCCACTCTGAGGGATTAGGAATGAACGACTTTAAGCCTGAATCCAGTCCATCGAGCTCAGGTAAAATGAAAATAATAGTTTGAGGACTTGTCCTCTATCATTCTAGTTGTAACGAATACCTTGAAAAGGGATATAGCTTTCCAGCTTTCTTGAAGGTGGCCCTAGACGATTTGTTTGTGGAAGTAGACGTAAAGATCCTAGACTATTGACGACGACCCTGTGTGGTTGTCCTAAACACTCTACATTTCGGTGTAGTGTTTCAACTGGCATCGAGGCCCCTTAAACAAGGATCTCCAGTTGGGTTATGGGATCCGGTGCTGAAATGGTACTTTATCGCAAATGATGTCTTCCCAATTATTTAGTGAGATTAACTCTGCATGGCTGAGTGCTTGCGCGTGGTTGAGTTCATAACATCTAACCCATGGTAGTGTGTACGTTCTGGCTGACCTTGTGGGACAAACTCAACCTTTAACTTTATGTACGGTCTAGAGTGCCCTGTCGATTGTAACAGCGCAAAGCGATTGGAGGCAAGACGGTTGTAAAGGCTGCTGGTTAATGCATTGCTGCGTGGCTCGGCAACCCGTTCAGGGTTTCCGGTCTAGGTAGAGAAAACCCACCATGCTGCCCGTGCCGATTAGGGACTGAAAGGAATTCCTTTAACTCAAATTATATTTGGATTTTATTACTAATGTAGTGAAGGAGAACACAGGTGGGGCAACCGGATTGTATTTAACGAAAATTACAGAGTTACGTAGTAAAATCGGAAAACCATATCGTAAATCGTTCATTTGCAAAATATCAGTTCATCATATCGAACTGGACTGTTCCTGTTGCAAAACATCAATCCATTGTCATTATTCATGCGTTTCATACACATTCCATTGTTTTGTAACTCTTCCTTTCTTGATCTTCCCCCCATCTTCTGCTGCCAGACATTACGTTGACGCTCACGTCATATACTACTTATAAGTAACTCGTACCACACTACAAGTGCTTAACGTAGTGATAATACAGACGAAATAATGTGTTATTACAAAATGTGAACATGTCTGCATTCATTTTTACCTTGCATAAACAAAACAGCAAAGAAAAAATCACAGAAAACTTCTTTTTTTTTGATAAAAAGTAAACAAACCTTTACATCGGATAGATCGCCTAAAACAACAGTCAAATCATTACATAATGCAAGCAATAAATCATCCAATGATAAATCATTATCCGGATTTTCTGAATTACGATTTAATGAATTTGATCCAATGAGATGAGCTAACCAAATAGCTTGATTAATTAGTTGGACACGTGATGATATAGCAATCACATTGGTACTATGTACTTCAGTTGATGCATAATTACGCAATGGAATAGGAGTACGCATTAAACGTAAAAGCCAAGCTAAAACACGAGATAAACCTGAATAAGGATTGATTTTATTCACATCTGGAATGGTCAATTCAGAACCAATCGATGCACGTGCACGACATAATTTTATGAGTAGTGGTAATAAAGTAGCCAGATCTTTAGCATGAGGAAAATTGACAGCAGTTAATTTTTGTGTGGATGAATGAATAGCCCCGGTTGGGTTTAACACTTTGGTTACCCATGACTGAAAAATGAATTTTAAAAAAAAAAGGAATAAATTATTATAATTATTGTTGTTAAGTTCATTTACCCAAAATAGATTGGAGTCAGTCGTCGATCAGTTAATTTTCGGGTGTAGGCAGTAACTACCAAAGACAAATGAGTAAGGTCGCGCAAAAATCCTTAGATCAATCAGAATTAGACATTAACACCGTTGGATGCCGGCCCAGGGGTACGATGATTAGGCGTTCGCGCACAATATTGAAGGTCCCAGGTTCGAATCCTGCAAGGTGCAGGAGCCGTGGATGCGCACTGCCATTGATGATTCCCATACCAGGACGAAACGGCCGTCTTTCAGTGCTTTCAGGTTTCTAATGGTGTGTAAAAATCAGTTAATTACAACGTAGAACTTCGTACATACGTACACGAGTCCCGTTTACCATACCACATGAACACAGACGCAAGTGTCACTTCAAATCTCATAGTGTTAAAAATAGTAGAAGTATTAGCGGTAATTGGGGATGATTAGAGTTCGAAGATATTAGTCAAGAAGTAGAATCTAGTGAAATAAACTTAAAAAGAAAAAGATAAAGGTGATGAGGAATTCAAAAGAATAGGATTTGAGAGGACACAAAGAATGGATACACTTGTGCCATTGCAAACGGTTTTTAGCCATGTTATTCATCTTGCGGTCCCCGACCAGGTAGTCTACATCTACCTACAGGACTTAATCCAGTTGTCATTGACTTCATACATTTGTGTCATGGTTTCGTTTGGCCACCACTGACATTCTTGGAGTACAATATCATTGAATCATACTCTATAATTGTGAGGATTAGTGCAATCATTCAAATGTGCAAACTGAAGTAGGTGGACTGGATTGCAGAATAGCCGGAAGCCGAACGCTTAAATCACTGTGCTTCATGTATATAACCAGATAGAGGGTTATAACTACAGCACACACAACTCTAACCCAACTCAAAATATGTAAACTTGTCTTTAATTTTAATGAATAATTTAACATATAACGGTTGATTAATTATATCAGAATTATTATTCTACGATGATCATATTACTTTTCATGATTACTTGTTTTATAATTGGCTGATAAGCTACTGAAAGTACACAGTATTAGTATACATTTATAGCACAATATGTAATAATCAGTAGTAGTGGAAAATTATTTGAAAATTTTAACACATACAGTTAGAATTAGCATTGTTTTGTGTAATCCAAATAGAAAAACAGCGTTTGCCAATACATGTGTGAAAAAAATTATTCAACATTGTTGAGCCTGCACGTAAACATATCAACCTGATATGCTTGAACGAGGATCGAGGATCCGGCGACACGACACGCTACTCAAATCCGATTATCACAACCCCCATATTGAGTAAAAATAAGACAAGAATTGATATGAAGTAGAACCTGTATTCTACAAGCATCCAGAAAGTACGAGGTCCGAATCCAGAAGAGAATCAGGATCCCGGACTAGGGATCCAGGACCGGGTCCTGGTCCTGGTCGTGGTCATAAAACGTTACACATAATGCGTATTTATACATTTTGGTCGATTAGGAAACAGCATCGAAGTCTGTGACATTGACAGTTAAGACGACCAATAGGAAGTAACATTAGAAAAACAACCAATAAGAAACAACATTGCAGCACGTGACATTGATATCTAGGACGACCTTAAAATTGACCAGTAGGAATGAACCAATAGGAATTGACCAATAATTCTCTAAGGATATTGGATGAATATCCTAACAAACATGCTCATAATGCTACGTCATGAATGATACAACAGTATAACAAAATAGAAAAAAAAAGACGATTTAACTTCACCACATCGATTCATATTATTATTATTATTATTAATATAGAGATAGTTAGAATTTACCTTCACTAATTTAATAAGAGATGAAAGAGATTGAGCTGGTGTAATCTCAGCAATCATTGATTCCGACAATTCATCATCGACATTATCATCGGAATCATATGACACATCGGTATTATTATGACTATGATTATTATTTAACATTTGTTCAGTATAATCAGGATGATTCACTATTGGATAAATAAGTTGACATAATTTATACAATCTTTGAATACCTAAATAATGCAATGCTAATATAATACCAATATTGACAACTTGTAATGCAATTGAAGCCATGGAAGAGATTGAACGAATTTTCAATGTATCTGATTGGTGGACTAGTTGTTCATTGTCTTCTGAAGTACCAGTAGTAGTAGTAGTAGTGGCAGTTGCAACAGTAGATAAAGCATGAGTTGATTGAATATGACTAGGAAATGTATTGTAATGATGATCATTTTGCATTAGTTTATGATGGTAAAAACGAATCACGCATCTAAAGTGTAAAATTTCAAACAAAAATTTATTTATTTTTACAGAGAAAAAAAATGCTTTATACAAGTAGTATACATGATGATAAATAAATTTTTGGGCAGAGCTTATTAGGTAAACCAACTGCGTCACAATACAAGTCCTCATCTGGAACCTTCAAGGTCAAAGGAAGGGAGGAAGGTCGAGGGACATATTACGCACAGAAATGGAGACAGATATAAGAAAAATGAAAAAAATTGGACAAAACTGGAAAGAAAGGCCTATGACAGAGTAGGTTGGAGAATACTGGTCGGCGGTCTATGCTTCATTGGGGGGTAAAATGTGATAATAAGTAAGTTCTCAGATAAACCTAATTGAAGAACAGTCAACCGAAATTGAAGTGTTCACGGTTTCGGTCAATTAAGAGACAGTAAAAATAAATGACTGATTTTATTATGCTAGTAATTAGGATTCCTGTATTAAGACTGATGTCAGTTCATGAAGAAAATTCTGAACAAAACACTTATTTCTATTTTCATATTTGTCCAATGATTTTTATCGTTTCTCATTGGTTCAGTTGTATTCTTCGGAAATATGAAAGCAAACTGACAATTGAAAATCACTAGATAAACCTAGTGAAAACCCTGATTATTAATTACTGGTTAGATAGACAAACGTACACGCGCAAATATGAAAAAAAAATCCTGACAGTTAACATGTGATTGGTAAACATGAGTGTACCGAATAAATTCATATAAGCAATATAAATAGTCTGAATCAATCACACTATAGATTACATGGTTAGCGAGTAAAAGTATACCTTTGTTACAATCAGTCAGTCGTCAGCAACAACATAGGACTTCGTAATTACTTACATTAGTTTACGTTGACATACCACATTAACACAGAGATGCAATTATCGATTCGAATCTCATAGTGGTATATGTGAAGTGCAGGAGAAGACAGGTGAGGGCAACCGAATTGTATTTAACGAAAATTACAGAGTTACTCAGTAAAATAGGAAAACCATATCGTAAATCGTTCGTTTGCAAATCTTCAATCCATCATCAATCCATTGTCTGACATTTCACTATTCATGCGTTTCATAAAAATCCCATTGTGTTCCCACTCTTCCTTTCTTGATCTTCCCCCATCTTCTGATGCCAGACATTACGTTTACACTCGCGTCATATACTACTTATAAGTAGCGCGCACCACATATGTAGTAGATGTATTGGCGACAATGTAGAAGATAACGGTTCAAAGAAATTAATCAAGAAGTGGTGGTGGTGTTTGGTTCTCTGAGTTGGATGTTTTGGTTGTGGAGCTTTCATTGTTCCTCTGAACAACATCATCAGAAGCTCCACAACCAAAACATCCAGCTCAGAGAACCAAACATCACCACCACAATCATTTACCTGAGCTACAAATCTTCTCCACCATCTCATAATCAAGAAGTATAATCCAGAGAAATAAACTGAGAAAGAAAGAGGTGATGAGGAATTCAGAAGATTAGAATTTGAGCAAAGACACAGAGTGGATGCACCTGCACAAGTGCAAACGATTTTTCGGCCATTTCATTCAGGGTATCTAACTATCGGTTACTATTGTCTCGTAGATCGCGAACAGTGTAATCACTGAAACAAGCTGAAGAAGGCAATGCAACAATCGAATTCTAGTATGTTTCTTTAGTTTAGTGTATTTTATTAACAATGTATCAAATCAATCGGTTAATACAGAATGAGCTCAAAGGCTTTGTAAATAGTTTTCACTTGTCGATTGCGTATAACATACAACAGTATATTTTTTGAGAGATATTAAAAGAAGCTCGGTAGGTGCTATGATCTTGATGACTTGAGAAAGTGATCATTGAGTCAAAAAGACAGCTGATTTAGGTCGGTCATAAAAACCTTTTCGTATACAGTTAATTGTATAGTTGCTTTGTACTGTAGTGTTCCCAAATATATTTGAATTCGCTTACATTTAATTTGGTCAAGCCTTTCGTATAACAACAACTTGTGTGTACCTTACGCCCTTACTATTGTCTGGTTTGCATAAGCTCACATGACTTGTCTCGCTTGCTTTTGACCTTGTCAATCATTCGTCGCTTTTATTCATGTGTGTGCATGCCTATTTCGGTTTTTGCATGACTGTCTTATTTTTGTTTGACTATGTATTCTTAGTCATGCTCTATCTCTTGAAATTGGCTCAACAGCCTTCTGTAATTCACGTCGATTCATTCGTTTTATTCACTGCTTCTCCGCTTCGCTTTGTGGTGTGTCTCAAATAAACGTATTCATCACTACGAGTTCACCTTCTGATTTATAACCATCAGACGCTATTTAGTAAAGATTGTCTAGATGAGCTAATTACCGAGCTTAAGAACACGGAGATACTGGCCACTACAGTACTTTTCAAACCTTACCGCGAGTGCCGGCAATGAGTAGGTCAAGGTAAGGTGTATCGTTTACAGGGTTAACCATCTCTAATACATCCGTTCTGTTGTGAGAAGGCAACATCGCTGGAAATCCCGATGATCCGTAAGAAACAATTTACTAACAACACACTCCAATGCAGTACGACTTCACCTTCAAACCTTAGTTTTACGGATTTCACACACACATTTAGGCGTCCTACAATAGTTGTCTCCCTGGACCTAAGAGCGGCATTTGACTCTGTTGATCGTGAGGTTTGTGGCGGTGTCTGTCATTGAAAGGTGTACCAAAGAAGTACATTAACCTCATACAAGCTCTCTACTCAAACACCACTGGTCGAGTGAGAGCGTATGGCGAACTGTCAATGGAATTCTTTACTTCAAGTGGCGTCCGTCAGGGATGTCCACACTCTCCATTCTTGTTTAATTTTATCATAGACATGCTCCTAGAAATAACCTTATCCTCGTCTGAACTTTCAGGAGTAGACCTTCTACCTGCTGGCTCGCTTATTGACTTAGAATATGCCGATGACATTGTCCTACTTGGTGAAGACGCTGACATTATGCAGAGTCTTCTGACCACCCTAAGCAACAAAGCAAGCATGTTCAGGATGCGGTTTTCCCCCTCAAAATGCAAAATGTTGCTTCAAGATTGGGTTTCATCGGCACCTGAACTAGTGATAGGGAGTGAAGTAGTCGAACGTGTAGACCGCTTCACTTATCTTGGGAGTCTCATCAGTGCCGATGGCCTGGTGACTGACGAAATCTCAGCTCGGATACAGAAGGCTCGATTGGCTTTTGCCAACCTGCGTCACTTATGGCGTATGCGTGATATCCGTTCGCTAACCAAAGGACGGGTGTACTGCGCAGCAGATCGCTCCGTTTTACTTTAGGGCTGTGAAACATGGCCAGTGAGAGTGGAAGATATTCGTCGGTTACTGGTTTTCGATCATAGGTGTCTTCGAAGCATTGCTCGTATATCGTGGGACACCCGAGTGAGCAACGCTGTTATTAGAAATCGGGTGCTAGGTAAGAATGGCAGGTCAATAGATGAAGTGCTGAGACTTCATCAGTTGAGGCGGTTGGGACATGTGGGGTCCGTGAGATGATAATAATCGATGGTTAGATAACCTGAATGACATGGCTCAAAATCGTTCGCAATGGCACCGGTGCATTTATTCTTTGTGTTCTCTCAAATCCTAATCTTCTGGGTTCTTCAATACCTCTAGTTTTGACTTTCTAAACTTTTCTCACTGAACCATAGTTCTTCAATATCCTCTAATCCTAACCTCTCCGATTACTGCTAATACCTGTACTACCTCTTCTACTATTGGATTTGAATTGACAATTACATCTCTGTGCTGACGTGGTATGGCGACATGAACTGATGTACTTACGTACGAAGTTCTACGTTGCATCTCACTGACTGACTGACTGACTGAGTTTTCCGGATTTTGAGTTAACCGCTATTCAACCAACATGCTTAGCATGATTAGATACCCCAAGGAAAAAATGTTTCAATCAATGTAGCGTGACTGAATCATTATGATAGACAAGTCGTACCACTTGCTAAAACCAAAGTACCAGCAAAATTTCTCATACAAATAAAAAAATGTACCGCTTCATTTAGGAACTAATGAAACAACGAGAGCATTCAAAAAAAGAAAAACGGCTCACTTACTTCATAATTGGTCCCAACTCGTTAATTAGTGCATCACGATAAGCGCAAGGAATATCTCCTTCAGCACAACGTGTAAATTGATTTAAACGATTCGCAATAGTTTGTAGAACATGACAAGCTAATGGATTCACCGACTCTGATTTGATACTTGCAATAAGGATACTTTTTAAATTTGTCTGAGATAATGAAATTAAACTCATTATGAGAAGACCACATCGTGAATCGGAACTATGACGTGATATTGATGATAAAATACCGTAGTTTTGATTCAATGTAACATGTCCACCACCACTTTTCCCACTGAGTAAATTCAATAAATTCAAACGTTTAGCAAATAATTGACGAATACGAATCCATGCTGGTTGACCAACAGAACTGAAACAATGTTAATAAACATATATATTAGGAAATTCACAAATCAAGTAGGTGAATTTAGGCTTCGTGTTCTGTGAGCTATTCTACATGCTTGAATTGAAGAGCATTCATTTAGATTATGTTGTCTAGAACGACAATAAAATCTGTTTCAATTAACCATGTAGCTTACATCATACGGATTTCTTATGATGGTTTCAACTGCGAAATCGTGCAGGGAGGTCAGCTAGCAGACTCTTTTGAGGTGAAGACCGGTGTCAGGTAAGGTTGCTTACTCTCACCCCTTCCCTTTCTCCTGATGATCGACTGGATTATGAAGACATCGACATCTCGATGGAAGCACGGTATCCAATGGACAGCTAGAACGCAGCTGGACGATCTGGACTTCGCAGATGATCTGGCTCTTCTATCGCACACTCAACAACAAATGCAAGAGAAGACGACCAGTGTAGCAGTAGCCTCTGCATCAGTAGGTCTCAACATACATAAAGGAAAAAGCGAAATTCGCCCATGCAACACAACATGCACTAACTAAATCACTCTTGATGGAGATGCCCTGCAGGACATTAACACCTTTACATATCTGGGCAGCATCATCGACAACCATGGTGGATCCGATGCAGATGTGAGGGCACGGATTGGCAACGCAACGGCTGCATTTCTACAGTTGAAAAATATCTGGAACTCCAAACAACTTTCAAACAAAAACAAAATCAGGATTTTCAATACAAATGTCAAGACAGTGTTCTACTGTATGGAGCGGAAACTTGGAGAACTACGCAAGGCATCATCCAGAAGATACAAGTGTTTATTAACAGTTGTCTTCTCAAAATACTTCGGATTTGTTGGCCAGATACCATTAGCAACAACGTACTGTGGGAGAAAACAAACCAGATTACAGTGGAGGAGGAAATCAGGAAGAAGTGGTGCAAGTGGATAGGACACACACTACGAAAAGCACCTAACTGCGTCACGAGACAAGCCCTCACATGGAACCCTCAAGGCAAAAGGAAAAGAGGAAGGCCAAAGAATACATTACGCCGAGAAATAGAGAAAGATATGAGAGGAATGAACAAACATTGGACAGAACTGGAGATGGAAGCCCAGGACAGAGTTGGTTGGAGAAAACTGGTGGGCGGCCTATGCTCCATTGGGGGTAACAGGCGTAAGTAAGTAAGTAAGTAAGTAAGTAAGCTTACAGAATACAATACCACTAAGGTATAGTATGAAATAAGTCAATCAGTAAGTCAGCTACAACATAGAACTTTGTACGTACATACACATGATCAGGCTGTCATACCATATCAGCACACAGATGCAAGTGTCAATTCGAATCCTATAATAGTATAGATAGTGTGAGTATTAGCGGTAATGGAGAAAATTAGAGTTCAAACATATTTATTGTTCAAGAAGTATAATCCAGTGAAAGATATGTAAAAAGAAATAAAAGTTCATGAGAAATCAAGAAGATTAGAATTTGAAAGAAGACAAACAATGGATGCACCTGTGCCATTCAGAACGCTTTTGAGTCATGTCATTCAAAGTTAATATTGTCTCGTGGACCCCAAGTATGAAATAATATAGTACAGTTTTCTTGGCAATGCAAGTTAAATGGATAGAAAAAGTAGAAGAGGATAGTAGTTTACCGAAGTATTGTATGTATAAAGATAAAAGAAACTAGCGATAGAGTTTCATATCAGACAATTAAAATGTTCAGTTAATGATAAATGGAATATTGTAATTCAACATTCATAATACATGTACAAAAAAGCTTACTATTCAATGCAAATGAGGCAACTAAGAAAAGGTATGAACAATAGCGTCAACAACATGACTTTCATTATTTAATAATGGCTACTTCCATAGTTTAGTGTGAACTGACTAATTTGTCAGGAATATTCATCACAAACTGATCTTATTTAGGGTGTGTTATTGAAAACCAGGCAGTACTAAACGTTTAGATTAACTTCCGATATAATGAATGTTTTTTTAATGGATTCTATAAAAACTGAAGAACAAAAAGTAGAGTAGAAGACATTCGTAGGTTACTAGTATTCGATCATAGATGTTTAAGAATCATTGCTCGTATATCGTGAGACACCCGAGTGAGCAACGCTGTTATTAGGAAACGGGTACTAGGTAAGGATGGCAGATCAATAGATGAAGTGCTGAAACTTCATCAGTTGAGGTAGTTGGGACAAGTGCTGCGTATGCCTAACCACCGACTGCCTCGACGAGCTTTGTTTTGTAGTGTAGGAATAGGTTGGAAGAAAGCTAGGGGCTGCTAGACCAAAACATGGCAGAAATCCATGAAGTCACTGACTAGTGGACTGAGTCATGTTGGTAGGTGTAGACTACCTGGTTGGGGTTCGCGAGACGAAAGTCACCAATGATTAGAGACCTTGAATGACATGGCTCAAAATCGTTTGCAATGGCGCAGGTGCATCCATTCTTTGAGCTCTCTTAAATCCTAATCTTCTGGATTCGTCAGCACATCTACCTTTGTCTTTCTAACCTTATCTCACTGAATTATACTTCTTGAATAATATCTTCAAACTCTAGTCTTCTTCATTACCATTAATACTTCTACTATCTTTATCACTATGGGATTTGATTTGACATCTGCGTCTGTGTGCTAATGTGGTATGGCAACATGAACTTATGTACATACGTACGTAGTTCTACGTTGCAACTGACTAATGAACAAAAAGTAAATGGATCTTATCCAACAATAAATGATGTTGCTACTACTGTGGTATTGAGAATACAGTTGGCTTGGATAAATGTGCAATCAATTGTAGTGTGTAAATCTGGAATACAAAATTTTAAAAACAGCACATAAATAATCCAAGAACAGTAGGACAGTATAGAGAAAAAGATCGATACAATAGAAAGACATTAAACACAAAAAAAGGTGGGAAATCAGTATAGAAGATTTTGAGATTCAGTCATTGATTCGTTTTTTTCACACTAGGGCATTAAAAAAAACTATTTCGGATCATCTACTCTACTGCTCACAGATATGGTATGATCAAGAACTGATATCAGTTATTGGACACCGGATTATAAAGAATGCGTGTGTGAAGCGGGGCTATTACAATCAATTCTGAGCCATGTTAACCAAAGTCTCTTAATATTCGTTATGATAATCTCACAGAACCCAACAAAGTAGTCTATGCTCAAAAAATGGATCCGTTTACGAGTCGACTTTTTCATGGATTAATGCTACGTCTTATTCTGGCCAACCTTAGCCTTCTACAAATCCACACCCACACCAGATAGCATCACAATTCGAGATTAGTGGTGGTTGAGCAAACCTAATACATGTCCTAATCATCTCGATTGAATATTTACTATTTCGTCAATCAAAGTTCCATATTTCACTAGTACTATATATCTATAATGAAATACCAGTATCCTACGAATATTCTTTATCCTTAATAGCTATGTCCCACGCCTATAAAATAAAACCAAACGAACTTCGTCGCAGTGAACTTGTTTATTAGTTAGTAGACAGATAACTTTTTCTACGCCACAAGTGATGCAAGTTGGCAGACACCAGTCAAGCTTTTTGAGTCTATCTCGAAATTCTACCAGATACGTAGAGCATTAGGACTTGATGGAACTCCTGTTGCCAGTAAAATGAGTCAATACACTCAACTAATTCGGGACAATTATAATTGAAGATATTTATGTAGATTAACAAATGCTCTAATCACTTTTGACATATCCATAGAACACTTATAAAAAAATATGGTCATTTTCACAACTCAACACACAAGGTCTAGCTAAACTAAAAACAAATTGTCTATGCCATATTGTAGTGAAGCAGAACACAGGTGGGGAAACCGGATTGTATTTAACGGAAATTACAGAGTTACTCAGTAAAATTGGAAAACCATATCGTAAATCGTTAATTTGAAAAATATCAGTTCATCATATCGAACTGGACTGTTCCTGTTGCACAACATCAATCCATTGTCACTCACTGTTCATGCGTTTCATACAAATTCCATTGTTTTCTAACTCTTCCTTTCTTGATCTTTCCCCATCTTCTGCTGCCAGACATCACGTTGACACTCACGTCACATACTACTTATGAGTAGCTTGCACCACAATATTACATATAATAATTCCAAAAACAATTTTCATTGAAGATATTTTTCAATTAGAGTTATGGAGATAAGAATACTTACACACTGAAATCATCAATCAAAAATTGTTAGACCACCATTAGAAACATGGACGCACATGACGGTCGTTTCGTCCTTGTACAAGACTCATCAGCAGTGCGCATTCACGACTTCTGCACCTTGTAGGATTCGAACCCAAGACTTTCGGTCTTGAGCGCGCGAATGCCTTACCTCTGGACCACTGGGTCGGCATCCAACGGTGTTTATGTCTAATTCTGGTCAATTTAGGCATTTTGCACGACTTCACCCACCATTCATTTAAGTACAATGCTAAATATTGATGAGAACAACTATACATATAATTTCAAATTACCCAATCACACAGTCCATTGTTTTGTAAGTTTAAAAGAAAGACTTACGTCTGATTGGGAACTTGTGATTGAAGATTATTATCATTAGTTGTAGTAGTAGTAGTAGTAGTGGTAGTAGTAGTATGTGGTGATACACCACAACCTAATGGATCTTTCAATTCAAATTCTAAACATGCATCATAAATATTAATCAATAGATGAACACGATCACGATTTAATTTTCCAATAGTTGATGAACTAAAATCAGTTTCTGTAGTCTTAAATAATGAAAGAAAATAGATATTACTAGTTAGTAAAAAAAAGTGGATATTAATTTCACTTGAAATAAATAAAAGATTGTTGAGTTTCATTGAAATCATGCATCACGCGGTGGCCGTGGATGCTCACTCCTGATGAGTCCTGTACTAGGACGAAACTGCGACCCTATGCTTGCAGGTATCTAATGGTGTCTTATAGGTGTCCTAACAACGTTATTATAAGATTGTGTAGATTATCGAGCTTCATAGAAATCATGAACCAGCCAGAGTTAGACCGCTGGAAGCATTGACGGTTACTTCGTCCTAGTATAGGACTTATCAGCCGTCAGTGCATTCAGGTATTCAACGGTGATCTAACATTAATCGATTCATGATTTTAAAGAATAAACCATGTGTAATACATAGTTAGTCACAAGAACGTTTAATTAAAGTCAGAATGCATAAATTCTAACGTCCTACACATTCGATTAAAGTAGTCGTACAGTAAAATACAGTATGTTATCCATTCTGTAAATTCATGGAAATTTTCTTTTACAAACTCAAAGGTTCAGTAATCTTATTTCCCTTAAGATACTGTATATTTGTGAACATACACACTCATCTCTATCTTCATTGTTTAAAACATCTACAGAATTTCTCATAAGTTTGGCTCTACACTTGCCATACCATTGCTCTTTAGTTTCACTTGTGAGAAATCATCCAGACAGTGAATCGATACTTGGAAAGTAAAATTGGTTGACAATGTTTTTCATACTAAACGAATTATTCAACAGTCATCTTTAATACACTGTAACGGAGTCAACTAAACCATGTATGATGTTGCTAACCCGTTCTGTTTTCTTTCTATTACAGGGCGATCAAACATAAACACTTTAGGAGCTGAAGAACAAGCCCTGCGTGCTCTGAACTTACAGGATGACTCATAAGACTTTGGTAAACTAGCACCCCCCTTTTCGGTACGAACCCCGCGTTATTCAATTTTAAAGTAAAGAGTGCCGTGGCTACTACTTCGTGTTCTCTCTTGGTGTGAAGTGCTCAGTTTACCTTGTGTGTTGTGATTTTAGATCTTATCCACCCTACAGTGACTGCTGATTACACGTTTTACAACACACCTTTCAGTTTTCATACCCTTCGATAAATGCATTAGGAATGCATTACCTCCACACACAAAAAAACACAAAAACTTCTAAAGAAACAAAGAGTTTTTATGTCAAGTATTTAGTATGCTTATTAAGTAAATCATTTACCTCGCATGTTTGCAAAATTCTAATTAAACACAACATTGGCGATGAAATAAAATGTGTATCAAATTGAAAAAAACTGATTATTTTTAGTGCGTATTGTTGTGAAATTCAAAAGACAAAACTGGCAACTATTCCATAGGTCATATAATACGCCAACTATTTAAACTAGCAACTTGAAATTGGGCAAACAGTGTCCATTATGTCATTTACAAACAATGGTACTATCACCACAAAGATCAGTTTGGTCTTACGTGCTGTTTCGGGTATGAGGGCGGATGAGAAATCAAACATATAGTTTAGCTTTGAAAATACATCATAATTAGTTAACAATAAGTATTCATCCAATATCCTAAGAGAATTATTGGTCAATTCCTATTGGTCGATTTCTATTGGTCAAAATTATGGTCGTTATAACTGTCAAAGTCAAATACTTCGATGTTCTTTCTTATTGGTTGTCCTACCTATCAATGTCACAGACTTCGATGCTGTTTCTTATGCGAACGAAATGTATATATACGCATTATGTGTAACATTTTATGACCAGGACCAGGACTCGGTCCCGGATCCCTAGTCCGGGATCCTGATTCTATTCTGGATTCGGACCTCGGGCTTTCTGGATGCTTGTAGAATACACATTCTACATCATATCATGTCTTCTTATTTTAACTAAATATGGGGGTTGTAATTATCGGATTTGAGTAACATGTCGTGTCACTGGATCCTCGCTCTCGTTTTCTGACTAGGTAAACTCGTAATAGTTCGAGTATATCAAGTTGACGTGTTTACGTGCAGGCGTAACACTTGTAATAATGGTCACATGTAAATCATTCACAAAACAGCTTTGATAGAAACCTTAACAAAAATTACTACTTAGAAATTAAAATAAACTATGTATATCAGTATTATTATTATTATTATTATTACCAATCCGAAATCTTCTTTTGGTAGAAGACGTAACGAGTCCGATATAGAAATCAATAAATTAACTGCTTTTGAAAATAAAGGATAAGTAACCAAACGACCACATCGTATAGAATTGTCTAATGTGGATTGTGTAAATTGACTAGTAGTTTCACTGGAAGAAATTTGTGATAATTCACTTTCATTGCTGGAATTCTCACGGCTATGTAATCGCTTCCAGGATAAATTAAATATTGGTAAAGTTAAAATGAGTTGTAGACACCAAATTAAAATATCCTAAAGAGAAAAAGAAAGGAAATAAGAATGATTACGGGGTGACAATTAAATAGATCACCGAGATTATCAAATACAGAGGAGAAAAATGGATACTAACGATAATGGCACTCTTTCGATTCAGTAACAAAGGTTAGATTATTGTGAAAAGGATTCTTAGCATAACATTCGCTCGGGATCTTGATAAAAGTTAACAGTCTTTACAACCACTCTAATGATAACCATTATGTGCTCATGAATGACTGGATTGGAGAGGAAACTTCCAGAGTTCCAACGATAAGCCATGACAAATGGAGTTAAGCCATGTCGGTTATGAGTAAGGTGGTACTCATCGAAGAGAGAATGGAAGATGACTGCGCTATATTGTGGATTGTGGACTGAAGCAAAACTTGTGCAACATCAAATACCGGTTCAGGAGTCTAGAGAATAGGCGTTTGCACGTGATACCGGAGGTCCTAGTTTCGATTACGCGTGGCGGGGTCGTGGATACGTACTACTGAAGATTACCATACAGGTACGAAACATCTTTCCAATGCTTCTTGGTTTTCAATGGTCGTTCAATTGAATTCTTAATCAATTATAATACACAGACAGATTAGATTTATTGTAATCTGCTGGCACGGGTATGAGGGCGGTTGTCACTCCCCAGTTGCACACACGGTAGAAGTCCTTAGTGGCCACCCTTACCGTATGAGACGGGAATCCGTGAGATAGAGTGGGGTGTGACATTTTTAGGGTCGACCTTTTCTAACCCTTCCTTCCTTGTGAGTAGGCAGCATCGCTGCACCTTACTGCTGTCAAACCCCTCTGCAGTCAGCAGTACGACTTCGCCCTATCTTTCGCTGCCTGATCGAAGGAAGGAGCTCCCGTGGCCGAAGGAGTTGGAGGACGGAGATTTGCAGAGCTTCCTGGAGGAGATAGGGGCCGCGGTGGAGCTGGTGGGGGCACAGGGCGGAGTCGGCGCCGCTGGGAACGCTGCGGGGAGGTAAGGCGAAGGCGGTGTACGACAGCCTGGACGCTGCCGTCGGGAAGACGGTCACCAGGCGGCTGACGACGGAGTTTGACAGCCCGTTGGACAAGGATGAGGCGCCGCAGAGGTTCCGGCTGGCGAGGCTGTCGGCTGATGGTGACCCGTTGGTGCTGGAGCTCACGATGTTGCTGCGCCGTGCGCTGTCGAGTATGGATGGTAAGTCGGGGGCACAGTTGTTGGCGTCGCAGTTCATCGAGTGTGCCTGCCGCCGTGTTCCAGCAGCGGGAACTAGTAAACTGTTGGGGATGTTAGATCCCCAAAATTCGCTTGATAATGCCGTATTTTGGTTTTCACGTTTCGCCAGCAGGGGCTGATCAAATGACCTTGAGATTTCAATTCCCACCAGGAAAATCAATGGCTGTGATTGGCTACAGTGTATTTTAGTATGCTATTTTCTTAACTGTCTCAAGGACGTTGTTATGTTGTATAAATAAACGAGAGTTGTATGCTTGATTGTACTGGGATTGCTGGGTGCTTGTAGAATATACTTCTACGCCTACAAAGTCTTCTATTTCGATTCTGGGATTCAGGGTAGCCTTCCTGGAAGCTGGTAAAAGTCTCGTTCGCGTTTATCGACTAAGGTAAACTCGTAATAGCCTCAAGCATCCTAAGTGACGAACTTATCAGTGGCGACGGTGCTTTTGGAGATATGGATCCTGCCAAACTTGAATTACTACTTGAGCAGCAGCTGAAACTGATGCAGATGTTGACAGACATGAAGATTTCCCCTTCCACGCAGCCCAGCTCATCTAATGCAACCACAGCTCCATCGGTCGACGGCATCGCAAATAGCATATCTGAATTTCATTATGATCCTGATGCAAATGTTACTTTTGACATGTGGTTCCGGCGTTATGAAGATTTATTTAAATTTGATTTCGCTAACCAAGATGATGCTTGGAAGGTTCGGCTGCTACTTCGAAAGTTGGGCGCAAGTGAGCTGGATAAGTACTGTAATTTGATCCTGCCTTTGAACCCACGAGATTGTTCGTTTTCTGAGACTGTCCAGACTTTAAGCCAACACTTTGGAGACAACTCGTCACTATTTAACACTCGTTATCGATGTTTGAAGCTTATTATGAACGAAGATGATGATTTTCTTACGCACGTGGGCATCGTCAACCGTGAATGCGAACGCTTCCGGTTGAAGTCTTTGTCGGAAGACCAGTTCAAAGCCCTTATACTCATCTGCAGCCTCCAGTCGAGTAAGTTCAGTGACATTAGAACAAGGCTACTAAGGCGGTTGGAGCAAGATCCAAAGCTTACGCTTAATGATATGGCTCATGAGTACCAACGTCTCACAAACCTACAACGAGACTCGACTATAGTTCAGAATGGTAGTTCAAGCCGATCTGAAATTCATTTGGTACAGCAGCCACCTAATCATTATAAGTCTGCCCATGCTACACCCAGTTCACCCCGCTCCAATTCGGCCCAAAAACCCAAAATGAATCCACCTTCTGCTTGCTGGCACTGCGGTTCATGGCACTATGTACGGAACTGCCCATTTAGGCAGCATAGATGCAGGAAGTGTAAAGTCATCGGTCATAAAGATGGCTTTTGCCTACAGAAAAAGCCAAAGCGATCCAGAAGTGCTAAGAAGCCTGTTCCTAGATCCAGTACCAATGCATTGAGCCTAATATCTTCCTGCCAAAGCTCATCACCAGGTGAGAGGAAATTTATTACTCTTAATATTAACGGTTATTTGTGTAGAATGCAAATAGATACTGCATCTGATGTCACTATCCTCTCACGCAAAAATTGGACCAAATTGGGCAGCCCAAGCCTGCAGCACACAACACAAAAGCCTCGTACAGCATGTGGTAATTATCTTCGTCTGTTAGGACAATTGGAATGTAAAGTTGCTTTCCGAGATTCGTCGTTTACTGGGGTATGCTATATAACGCCAGCTGATCTAAATTTACTTGGTTTAGATTGGTTCGACCAGCTAAAATTGGCTGATGTCCCGCTAAATACCAGATGCAACCTGGTATCACAACGACATGACCCAGAAGACCACGCAGAATGTTATCTGACAACCGCAGTTCGTGCATTACCGGTGTCTGCAACAGGCATACAAAATGCTTCTAGAAACGACCCCATCATCAAGATGACGATGAAATATGTCACTAACGGGTGGCCGTCGAAAAAGTTTGAAGGTGACATGAAGCAACTGTATCAGCGGCGGGAGTCACTATGCGTCGTCAACGATTGTCTGATGTTTGGTGAAAGAGTAGTGGTGCCAGAATCCCTTCGTGCAAAAGTGCTGAGACAGTTCCATCTTGGTCATCCTGGGATTAAACGAATGAAGTCCATAGCCAGGAGTTATGCATACTGGCCTCACATGGATCAACATGTCACAGCGTTGGTTGAAAAATGCATCCGGTGTCAGCAGGCGGCAAAGATGAATGCCAAAATTCCGCCGGTTTCATGGCCCAAACCTGAGCATCCTTGGTCCAGGATACATGTCGACTTCGCTGGCCCAATAAATGGAACTATGTATTTAATTGTCGTCGACGCCTTTTCTAAATGGCCGGAAATCAGCCCCGTTATGCCGCCCACTACAACTAAGACTATACAGCTCCTAACTGAAATTTTCTCACGAAATGGCATACCAGATGTGATCGTATCCGACAATGGCTCTCAATTCACCTCTTCCCAATTCCAGAATTTCTGTCAACGGCTAGCTATTAAACACTTACGCTCGCCACCATACCACCCGCAATCGAATGGGCAGGCGGAAAGGTTTGTGGATACGTTTAAAAGAGCACTGCTCAAGTCAAAAGGGAAGGGGACGCCAGCCGAAACGTTACAAAATTTCTTGTACGTCTATCGGACAACACCAAATGAATTGTTACCGGAGCAAAAGTCCCCAGCTGAAATCCTGATGGGGAGAAGATTGAAAACGATTCACAGCCTGATGCATCCGACCAATGCACCCTCATCAGTAGAGACAAAGCAGCAAAGACAATCCGCTTACGAGGTGGGATGCCCTGTGTTTGCCCGCGACTACAGAACGAACCATGGTCCTTGGGTAGAAGCGAGAGTGGTCAGAAGGGTTGGTCGAGTTATGTACGAAGTAGAGGTAGGAGGTGATAAATGGTCACGTCATCGCAATCAAATACGCAGACGGCTAGCCCCAGATCGCCCATCAAGAGCAGAAAGCCTTCCCCTTGACATCTTGCTTGATACCTTCAACCTACCGAGAGCCCCGCCACGAGAAGAAACTCAGCAGCAAGCTGTTCTTCGTTCCCGAAGGTATCCCCTCAGACAGCGGCGAACAATAGTCAAGATGCAAGTCGACCCCAGGAGAACAAGCTATTAAAAAGGGGAGGAGTGTTGGGGATGTTAGATCCCCAAAATTCGCTTGATAATGCCGTATTTTGGTTTTCACGTTTCGCCAGCAGGGGCTGATCAAATGACCTTGAGATTTCAATTCCCACCAGGAAAATCAATGGCTGTGATTGGCTACAGTGTATTTTAGTATGCTATTTTCTTAACTGTCTCAAGGACGTTGTTATGTTGTATAAATAAACGAGAGTTGTATGCTTGATTGTACTGGGATTGCTGGGTGCTTGTAGAATATACTTCTACGCCTACAAAGTCTTCTATTTCGATTCTGGGATTCAGGGTAGCCTTCCTGGAAGCTGGTAAAAGTCTCGTTCGCGTTTATCGACTAAGGTAAACTCGTAATAGCCTCAAGCATCCTAAATGACGAACTTATCATAAACGCTACACGTTGGATAGATGCCGTATCCATTTCAGACCAGCGCGCAAGAACAATGACCGAAGTGGTAATCCTGCATATTGTAGCGTGTCGCGCAATACGGGAGGTGATATTAACTGACCAGGGTCCCTGTTTTGAAAGACTACGACGACAGCTTATTAAAAGGGTGGACGAGTAGTATATAACGAGAGTGTCAACGTAATGTCTGGCAGCAGAAGATGGAGAAAGATCAAGAAAGAAGAGTTAGAAAACAATGGAATTTGTATGAAACGCATGAATAGTGACAATGGATTGATGTTTTGCAACAGGAACAGTCCAGTTCGATATGATGAACTGATATTTTGCAAATTAACAATTTACGATATGGTTTTCCGATTTTACTGAGTAACTCTGTAATTTTCGTTAAGTACGATTCGGTTGCCCCACCTGTGTTCTCGTTCACTACATTTATCTATTTCTCGGCGTAGTGTGTTCATTGGCTTCCTCTTTTCCTTTTGCCTTGAGGGTTCCATGTGAGGGCTTGTCTCGTGATGCAGTTAGGTGCTTTTCGTAGTATGTGTCCTATCCACTTACACCACTTCTTCCTGATTTCTTCCTCCGCTGGAATCTGGTTTGTTCTCTCCTACAGTACATTGTTGCTGGACGTGTCTGACCAACTAATACGAAGTATTTTGCGTAGACAGCTGTTCATAAACACTTGTATCTTATGGATGATGCCTTTCGTAGTTCTCCAAGGTTCCGCTCCATACTATCTTGACATTTGTATTGAAAATCCTGATTTCGGTGTTCGTTGATGTTTTTTGGAGTTCCAGATATTTTTCAACTGTAGAAAAGCAGCCCTCGCTTTGCCAATCCGCGTCCTCACATCTGCATCGGATCCACCTTGATTGTCGATGATGCTGCCCAGATATGTAAAGGTGTTAAAGTCCTCCAAGGCATCTCCATCAAGAGTGATTTGGTTGGTGCATGTTGTGTTGAATCGGAGAATTTTGCTTTTTCCTTTATGTATGTTGAGACCTACTGCTGCTTCTGAGGCTGCTGCTACACTGGTCGTCTTCTCTCGCATTTGTTGTTCCGTGTCTGATAGAAGAGCCAAATAATCTGCGAAGTCCAGGTCGTCCAGCTGCGTCCTAACTGTCCAGTTGATACCGTGCTTCCCTCCAGATGTTGACGTCTTCATAATCCAGTCGATGACCAGGACAAAGGGAAAGGGCGAGAGTAAGCAACCTTACCTGTCATTGGTCTTCACCTCAAAAGAGTCGGTTAGCTGTCCTCCGTGTACGATTTTGCAGTTGAATCCATCATAAGAGTTCCGTATGATGTTAACTATTTTCTCAGGCACACCGTAGTGTCGAAGAAGCCTCCACAGTGTTTTCCTATCCACGCTATCGAATGCTTTCTCGTAGTCGATGAACTTGATGTAGAGTGGTGAGTTCCATTCAGTTGATTGTTCCACAATGATCCGTAATGTCGCAATTTGGTCAGTACATGATCGATCCTTACGAAATCCGGCCTGTTGATCTCGAAGTTGGGCGTCTACGAAGTCCTTCATTCTGTTTAACAATACCCTGCTGAACACTTTGCCTGGTATTGAAAGAAGAGTGATGCCTCTGTAGTTCTCACACTTGCTGAGATCGCCTTTCTTTGGTATTTTGGTGAGGTATCCTTCTTTCCAATCTGATGGTACTTGTTCCTCATCCCAAATCTTCTTGATGAGGATGTGAAATAATTTCGCAGTTGCTTCTACATCTGCTTTCATTGCCTCTGCTGGAATGTTGTCTGGTCCTGCTGCTTTGCCACTCTTGATTTGTCTGAAGACCATACTAATCTCTTCAACTGTAGGTGCGCCAATATTAATTGGGAGGTCCTTGGATGCTGCTTCGATGTTGGGTGTGTTCAGTGGAGCTGGTCAATTCAATAGTTCCTTAAAGTGCTCTACCCACCTATTTCGCTGTTGTTCAGTGTTGCTGATTACTTTGCCTTCCTTGCTCTTCACTGGTCGTTCTGGTTTACGATACTTTCCGGCGAGCTTCTTTGTTGTTTCGTACAATTGTCTCAAGTTTCCGTCTCTTGCAGTCCTTTCCGCTGTCATTGCTAGATCTTCCACATATTTTCGTTTGTCAGCTCTGATGCTCTTCTTCACTTTCCTGTTTGTTTCTGTGTATGCAGCTTGCGCCTTAACTTTCTCTGCTCTTTTTCGGCTGACATTCACTGCTGCCTTCTTGTTCCTCCTTTCTTCAATCTTTTCAAGAGTACCAACAGAGATCCATTGCCTCCTTAATCCCTTTCCAATTGTACTCCAATGTTGCTTCCTCTCCATTGTGTAGATCCTGAAAGGCCTGGAACCTATTGGTGACGGCTATCTTGAATTCGTTGAGTTTTACGGTATCCCGAAGAAAGGCTGTATTAAACTTGTGTAATGTTGTCTGCCCCGTTGTCTAGTGCTTCTTCAGTTTCACATTCATTTCGGCGACCAGCAAATGGTGATCTGATGCTATATCAGCTCCTCTCTTGGTTCTCACATCCTCCATGGTCCTTCTGAACGTTTTGTTGATACAGATATGATCAATCTGATTTTGAGTAGTGTGGTCCGGTGAAATCCATGTGGCTTTGTGAATGCGTTTGTGCGGGAATATTGTCCCACCAATGACCAGTTTGTTGAAGGCACCGTTTTCGTTCCTTTCTCCCAGTCCATGTCGTCCCATGATGTCTTCATATCCAGTGTTGTCCATTCCAACCTTGGCATTCAGGTCTCCCATAAGAATCGTCAAATCCTTTGGTGAACATTTATCGACGATTGACTGCAGCCTTTCGTAGAATTGATCTTTAACGTTGTCATTGTAGTCGTTGGTAGGTGCAAAACATTGGATGACGTTCATTGTAATGTCCTGTTTCTTTGTTTTGAAGGATGCTTTAATGATCTTGGGTCCATGAGATTCCCATCCTATCAGTGCCTTTTGTGCATGTTTGGACAGCATCAGTGCAACTGCTTGTGTATGTGAAGCGTTTTCCTCTTCATGACCAGAGTATAACAGCAGTTCCCCTTAAGCTAGTCTCAGTTGTCCTACCTGTGTCCAATGCGTTTCACTGATGCCGAGCACCTCGAGGTTGTATCTTTTCATTTCTGCCGCAACTTGAAATAGTCTTCAAGTCTCCCACAACGTACGGACGTTCTATGTACCTAAAAAAATGGTTGCTCTGGTTGTCAGAAGAGGCATCAGCCCCGTGACTTCCGAGGGAACTCGGCTTTCATTACGAGACGTCATAATTCTTCTTCCAACTCCCAGGGCAGAGTAAAAATGTTTTGAATTATTTTTTCTGGTTAGCGTTTTTTTGGCAAGTGAGATTTCGACGGAATGGGGTCGCCCCTAAGATTCTACTGGCGGAGTTATCATGATACACTTTATGATTTATTTCATCTATCTTCAATATCATAAAACCCACGCCTGAAGCCCCTCTCTGTGGCTATTCCCAGTCCCAAGTTCGGATTAAGGAGGTCTGGGTTTGAGGTTGGCGTAGAAAACAAACTCACTAAAAAACTGATAACGAATATTATAAAATCACCAAGAATTATAGAATATTTGAAAGATTCAACTAATTACCGGATGTTCAGTGCGTAGAATTTCATTACCAATTGGATTGGAATCAACTAATTGAGTTAAAATAAATGGTGGACTATGAATAAAATCTGCATTAGTTTGTGTGGAATTTTGTACACCAGATGATCGTTGTTTTAATGCTTTCAAAAAATTCGGCGCTAAACAACCAGTAATAAGACGTAAGTATAAATTTAATACAGGTTCACATAGACCTCGATTACGTGTGACCACTTCGCATAAACCCTAAGAGAAAATAGAAAAAAAAGAAAGTTGATTGTTTTCTTTTTTTAATTGGTAAACTGAAAGAAAAATATTCAGTTGATTTGATTCCTCAAATCCTCATCACCTTTATCTTTCTCTTTCTAAATTTATCTCAATGAATTATACTTCTCGAATCATATCTTCAAACTGTGATTTTCTCCATTACTGCTAATACTTCTACTATCTCTACCACTATGGGGTTTAAACTGACAGTTGCGTCGCTGTGCTGATGTGGTATGGCAACCTGAACTTATGTACTCATGTACGAAGTTCTTCGTTGTAACCGACTGACTGACCGACTAATTATAATATAATCAGAAAAACAAGACTATTTGATATCGACTGTTTGCGACCCGAAATCAGTCAGTCAGTCAGATGCAACGTAGAACTTCGTACGTAAGTACATCAGTTCAAGTTGTCATGCCACATTAGCACAGAGATGTAATTGTCAATTCAAATCCGATAGTATTAGAGGTAGTAAGGGAATTAGAAGTAATCGGAGATGTTAGGGTTAGAAGATATTATTCAAGAAGTATGATTCCGTGAGATAAGGTTAGAAAGTCAAAACTAGAATTGTTGAAGAATCCAGAAGATTAGGATTTGAGAGAACACAAAGAATAGATGCACCGGCGCCATTGCGAACGATTTTAAGCCATGTCATTCAAGGTCTCTAACCATCGATTATTATCATCTCGCGGACCCCAACCAGGTAGTCGACAAATACCGACATGGCTCAGTCCACTAGTCAATGACTTCATGGATTTCTGCCATGTTTTGGTTTGGCCGCCCCTAGCACGATCCGAAATGGTTTCAAACGTTCAGTTCTTCAATGATATGTGTAAAACTTTGTAACTAGAAACAGATTCAAGAGTTTTAACAAATGACTTATTGTCGTTCGTTTTATTCAACCGGACTAGATTGTTGGTATTCAGTATCAGTACTAAGCTGACTAAAAGTACAGTTGAACAAAATGTCTCTTCAACACTACTAAACTTTTATGTTCAAATATTATTTCTTAATGAAAAAATATATACAAATCTAACTGAACAGATTTTAATTACCGTATTAAAACTTACCCAGTATATATTAGACTTGACTATATTCTCTGGATCAGCTAATAAACTGCCTGGTTGAGATCGGAAAAATGATGAAAATATAATACGATGAAGTATACTGATAATTTCTGTGCATAAAATTTCATTTTGTACAATATCACATGGTAATAGGACAGCTTGTTGAGCAATCTAAAATAAAAACCAGGTATGTAGAGAGAAAAATTTAAAAAAGGGATAGATAAATAGGCAGAGGTTGGTTGTCAAAACATTAACACTCCAAAACTGTGCTAAATATAATGGTCAGTAATGTATTACATGCGCCAACAAAATCACTTTTGATGGAGATGCCTTGGAGGGCGTAAAAACCTTTACATATCTGGGCAGTATCACCCTTTCTCTTTCATCTGGTGATCGACTGGATTATGAAGACATCAACATATGGAGGGAAACACGGTAGCCAATGGACAGCTAGGATGCAGATGGACGATCTGGACTTTACAGATGACCTGCCTCTTCTATCGCACTCGCAACAACAGATTCAAGAGAAGACGACCAGTGTAGCAGCAGTCTCTGCAGCAGTAGGTCTCAACATACATAAAGGAAGTAGCAAAATTCTCCGATGCAACACAACATGGCACCAACCAAATCACACTTGATGGAGATGCCTTGGAGGACATTAACACCTTTAGATATCTGGGCAGCATCATTGACAATCAAGGTGGAGCCGATGCAGATGTGAGGGTGCGGATCGACAAATCAAGGGCTGCATTACTACAGTTGAGAAATATCTGGAACTCCAAACAACTTTCAACCAAAACCAAAATCAGGATTTTCAATACAAATGTCAATACAGTTCAAGTGCATGGAGCGAAAACTTGGAGAAATACAAAAGCCATCATCCATAAGATACAAGTATTCATTAACAGTTGTCTGCGCAAAATACTTCGGATCCGTTGTCCAGACACCATCAGCAACAACCCACTGGGGGAGAGAACAAAGCAGATACCAGCGGAGGAGGAAATCACAAAGAAACCGTGGTAGTGGATAAGACACACACTGCACAAAGTACCGGACTGCGACACAAGACAAGCCCTCACTTGGAACCCTCAAGGTCAAAGGAAGAGAGGAAGGTCAAGGAACACCTTATGCAGAGAAATAGAGAAAGACATGAGAAGAATGAACAAAAATTGAACAGAACTGGAAAGGGATTCTCAGGACAGAGTAGGTTGGAGAATACCGGTCGGTGGCCTATGATCGATTGGGGTAACAGGCGTAAGTTAGTAAGTAAGTAATGTTGCGCCTAAAGTACACAATAAAATACAATCTATTTAAATTTCCAGACATATTGTCATAGTATTCGTCAGGGACTGATTGCAGGAAACACTGAATAGTTGTTTCATTTCAGTAATGCAGTGTTCGGTAATCCGAACCCGCTATCTTCCCTTTCGGTTATCAGCTCAGGGGTTTCAAGAGTTAGAATGACGAATAATTTAATAGAGACTTGTGGATGCAAACTGCTCAGGACTAGGACAACACAACTCGCCAATACCCCCTGACTTTTAAAGATGGTCTAAAGTTAAATCAATCCGTACTGAATATCACTTGAAGAATAAACATAATCACCAGAAAAACATTGCATCTAAAACTGTATTGACATATATATCAACTGATTCTGCTTATTAAATTTTATTTTAAACTGCAGAGACAGTAAATAAACGAGATAAATACAAGGCAAAGTTGAACGTTGAAACCACCCTATATGTTTGCGCGAAAATGTATTTCAGGTCAGTAGTCGCTAATTGTTACTCTACGCTGTTAGCTCAGTATTATCGTGTCACTAGTTAACCGAAGCTCATTGAGAGTAGAAAGACAGTCAAGGCAAATCATTAAATACTTGGACAAATTAATTATTATAGTCTTCTCGAATTACTGTCACGTCTTTTGACCTTGTCAATAAATCGCTTACAATCTTCGTTGTTCTTACTTGAGTGAGCATGTGCACTGCTTGCTTCGTTTATCACATGCCTAGCTTATTTTTATCTGATTATAAATACTTGGTAACGCTTCAACAAATCAAGTTGACCAAATCGCCGTCTCCGCTTCACTTCGCTTTCATGCTTTCCATTCTTATGCCTGTCTGTGTGTCTGACCGACTTCAAGCAGTATGTCCCTTGGACTATGGAGTCACATTGATGTTTCCGAATCGCTACTAATCCAGGTCTCCTTACAATTACCCCCACGCAGAAACAACTGCACATGGTGTAAGCAGCAGCGAAGTGATAACCGTCCTCATTCCTTGAAAAGCACTTAACATCACCTTAATGAGAACAGCTCCGATGTACACAGATCAATCACTCTAACCTTCTACAAGAGATCTGCTTCTAGCTCTATTATTCAGTCATGCTTAACCATTTATAATAATATTCAGTATTATCTGAAAGTGAAAAACCAAACTATAATTACACAATCAGACAATTAATAATGAAAATAATTTACCTGTGTCGATTGTAATTGACTAAATAACACTAATGGATTTCTTTGTGTTGCTTGAGATTGTGAATAAACAAATGGTTGTGATAGTGAACTTGATGATGATGAAGAATATTGTGATGCTGAACGAAATGATGACACTGATACCTAAACAATAAAAACAAAAAATTTAGGCATCTTTAAAAAGTAGTGAAAAATGACAAGAGTAGTAGTAGTATTAGTGTGGTGCGAACTACTTATAAGTAGTATATGACGTGAATGTCAACGTAATGTCTGACAGCGGAAGATGGGGGAAGATCAAGAAAGGAAGAGTTAGAGCACAATGGAATGTGTATGAAACGCATGAATAGTGACAATGGATTGATGTTTTGCAACAGGAACAGTCCAGTTCGATATGATGAACTGATATTTTGCAAATGAACGATTTACGATATGGTTTTCCGATTTTACTGAGTAACTCTGTAATTTACGTTAAATCAATCCAGCTGCCCCCCCTGTGTTCTCCTTCACTACAGTAGTAGTAGGATGTGAATAATAACATATTTGGAGAACTCAACACGTCAGGAACATAGGAGCCTGTTGTCAATCTTTTGTTTCCCACACTTTAACACATTTGTCTTCTATGCTGATAATGCAGTAAGACTCCACTTTAACATGAAAGGCTAACATGAATTCAGAAACTGGACATTCAATGATCCTAGTCGAATACTCTTCCATCTAATGGAACGGTGAATTAATGACTGGAGTACTCACATTAACCATTAGGTTGCAGTTTCTGAACTTTTCTTGCGCCTACTTCGGTTCAGGTAAGTGGATAGTGCTTTTGGCAACTAGTACTGCCACACGCTTATTCAGAAAAATGAATTACTCTGGTCTTTTCAGTCCTTCTAACATTAAAGCGTATGACCTCGAGGATTTTTGCATGTCAACTAATTTACTTTTTCATGATTAAGAAAACTGAATCATTCATTACTCAGAGAATAAGGACGTATATCCATTCTGTTTATCTCTTGTTGTTCATCTGTCCGCTCAGTCGTACTTCATCGCTGTGAAGTATTACGAGTCAGAGTAAATGACATTCGTATGTAACTAATACTCAATCATAGGTGTCTCCGAAGCAATGCTCGTGTATCCTGGGACAACTGGGTTCTAGGTAAGGACGGTAGATCAATCGACGAAATAGTGAAACTTCAGTTGAGGTAGTTGAGACAGTGTTACGTATACCCAACCACCGACTGCCTCGTCGAGCTATGTTTTGTGGTGTAGGAGTAGATTGGAAGAAAGGAGTGGCCAACCCAAAACATGGCACAAATGCATGAAGTCACTGACAAGTGGACTGAGTTATGATGGTAAGTGTCGACAACCAGGTTGAGTTCGGTGAGATGATAGTATTCGATGGTTAGAGACCCTGAGTGACATGGCTGGAAACCGTTTGCAATGGCGCCGGTGCATTCATTCTTGGTGTTCTCACAATTCCTAACCTTCTTAATTCCTCATCACCTTAATATTTTTCTTTTTAAGTTTATTTCGCTAGATTCTACTTCTTGAATAATATCTTCGAACCCTAATCTCTCCGATTACACTGCTACTACCTCTACTACTATGGGATTTGAAGTGACAGTTACCTCTCTATGCTAATGTAGTATGGCAACCCGAACTGGTGTACGTACGTATGAAGTTCAACGTTGTAACTAACTGACTTATCCGTATTACCAAATGTACGAAACTTAGGTAAACCTGAAACACTTGTGTATTCGGCTTTTGATATCTTGTTTATGTGGGATAGATATTTCATTAACATTATTATCTGGAGTCAAACGCATACTAAATATCCTAGGCCTAGATAAAACTCAATAAGTATTTGTATACATGGTGAATGAGTGACAAGTAGAATTCATTTCTTTAAACAAACAGAGAGTTTCTCTTCAACAACACGCTGGAAGAAATTCAGTCATCTTTTAGTAATGACTGAATTGAGCTGTTACAAAGTATTGCGAAATGTATTATCTCCAAAAATAAGGCAGCAATCAACGATAATAAAAAAAAAGATTTTTTGATAATTGTCTCTCTAAAATTTTACAATAACTGCGTACCGTTTAACTAGGTACAATGACACTCACATTTGAAATAGCTGATTCTTAAGGACACACAGTAAATATGTACAAATAGAGATGTATTGTTCCATATATCATTATCGGCTGGAGTGGGAAATAAACCTTTAATTTTCTTTTATCTTCTCAATAGTAAGGTGGATGGATCAACAGTGAATTGAAGAATATTACATGTTCGGTTGAAGAATAATGCATCACAAAACTATAATTGCGTTAATATTTTATTGTGTGTATCTGATATTGATCGGAGCATACAATCAATCAGTCAGTCAGTTACAATGTAGAACTTCGTTTGTACGAATATCAGTTCAAGTTGCCATATCACATTAGCACAGAGGCGCAATTGTCAATTTAAATCCTCGAGGATCCCAACAAGGTAGTCTACATTCATCAACATGACTCTCTACTTGTCAGTGACTACATGGATTTGTGTCATGTTTTGGTTTGGCCGTACTTAGCATCCTTCCAATCTTTTCCTACATCACAAAACATTGCTCGACGAGGCAGTCGCTGGTTGGACATCCGTAACACATGTCCCAACCACCTCAACTGATGCACTTTCAATAATTCACCTATTGATCTGCAATCCTTACGTAGTACCCGCTTCCTAACAACTGCTTTGCTTACACGACAGTTCTAAAATAAACGAGCAATGCTTCGGAGACACCTATCTTCGAAATCCAGTAACCTACGAATATCTTCCAAACTTACTGGCCGTGCTTCCCACCCATAGAGTAGGTCGAAGCTAACTACTGCACAGTACACTCGTCCTTTGGTAAGCAGACCGATATCTCGACTGCGCCATAGGTGACGCAGGTAGGCAAAAGCCAATCGAGCCTTCTGTGTCCATGTTGAGATTTCGTCACACATCAGGCTGTCAGCACTAATGAGACTCCCAGTATAAGTGAAGCGGTCGACGGGCTCAACTACTTCACTACCTATCACTAGTTCAGATGCCTTCGCAACCGAATCCTGAAGCAACATTTCGCATTTCGACGGCGAGAATCGCAACCCGAACATGTGTGCAGTGTTGCTTACGGTGATCAGAAGACTATGCATTTTTTCAGCGTCTTCACCAAGCAGAACTATGTCATTGGCATACTTTAGGTAAACAAACGTATCTCCTGCTAAAAGTTCAACTCCTGAAACGTTAGATGATACAGGAATATACAGTACAACTGAATGACTTTTACACGAAGTAAGTTCACATCCTAAATCTCAAGTAACAAGTTTTTACAGATGCCTGTTCTCATTTCCATTGATTATTCTGACACTGATAAAACAGAATTCAACAATTACAGTAAATAATTTGATGAATCTTAAATAAAAGTATACTGTACTTGATTTTATGATATACTATCGCACACTCAACAACAAATGCAAGAGCAGACGACCAGTGTAGCAGCAGCCTCTGCAGCAGTAGGTCTCAACATACATAAAGGAAAAAGCAAAATTCTCCGATGCAACACAACATGCACCAACCGAATCACGCTTGATGGAGATGCTTTGGAGGACGTTAACACCTTCACATATCTTGGCAGCATCATCGACGAGAAAGGTGGATCCGATGCAGATGTGAGGGCGCGGATTGGCGAATCAAGGGCTGCATTTCTACAGTTGAGAAATATCTGGAACTCCAGTCAGTCAGATGCAACGTAGAACTTTGTACATAAGTACATCAGTTCATGTTGCCATACCACATCAGCACAGAGAAGTAATCGTCAATTCAAATCCAATAGTAGAAGAGGTAGTAAGGGAATTAGAAATAATCGGGGAGGTTAGGATTAGAAGATACTATTCAAGAAGTATGATTCAGTGAGATAAGTTTAGAGAGTCGAAACTAGAGGTGTTGAAGAATCCAAAAGATTAGCATTTGAGAGAACACAGAGAATAAATGCACCGGCGCCATTGCGAACGATTTTGAGCCATGTCATTCAAGGTCTCTAACCATCGATTATTATCATCTCGCGGACCCCAACCAGGTAGTCGACAATTACCGACATGGCTCAGTCCACTAGTCAATGACTTCATGGATTTCTGCCATGTTTTGGTTTGGCCGCCTCTAACTTTCTTCCAACCTATTCCTACACTACAAAACAAGGCTCGACGAGGCAGTCGGTGGTTGGGCATACGCAACACATGTCCCAACCACCTCAACTGGTGAAGTTTCAATACTTCGTCGATTGATCTGCCATTCTTACCTAGCACCTGATTCCTAATAACAGCGTTGCTCACTCGGGTGTCCCACGATATACGAGCAATGCTTCGAAGACACCTATGATCGAAAACCATTAACCTACGAATATCTTCTACTCTCACTGGCCATGTTTCACAGTG